TCCAACTACTCCCACTTTCTGTTCATCTTTTTCCCTCTTCTTCTCCTTCATCTTCGACGATAAATTTGTTCTTCTCCTTCATCTTCGACACTTTCTGTTCTTCTTTCCCAAACTTTGCTTGTTCTTCATCCTAAAACATCCAACTACTCCCAAGCATGGTTTTAAGGCTTTACATTTTAAAAAAATATGGTAACAATCTTTTTGCAAATTTTATGTTTGGTCATGATCAGCTTATAGAAATCGAGGTTTGGCAGATTGTTATATAACAAGCAAGAGGAAGATGTAAGCTCTTGATTTGTTTTATGCGCTATTTTTGTCTTTTTAACAGAAAAAGTGCTTACCAGCACTTATTTACCAAACACTTCAATAACTTTTTTTAAGTTTCAGCATTTTTAACCAAACAGGTAACTGCTTATTTATAAAACAAGTTTCAGCACTTAAAAGTTGTGCTTAAAAGCCATTTATTAAGCCAATCCAAACGGGCTCATAGAGATCTCATAAATAGGCGTGGATCGAGTCATGCAATTAGTCAAGCACTGAAACACAAGGCCAAGAGCAGCAAATGACTTGCTCAAACTATACATTCTCTTGAGCATTTTCTCAAACACATTAGTCACTTATCTCATTTATGATCTCGCCTAATATATTTTACATGTGCAATAGAGAGCATATATATTTCGATACGGATGGTATTCAATATTTTTTAAGTACCGAATAACATACATAATATTAGGGATGTACGAAGGAAACCGACAAATTGCACTAAAACCGATAATCTGAATCAACCAGGAAAAAAATCCGACTATGGTTTGGTTTGATTTGGTTAGATGTTGGAAAAAGAATTCGACCATAATTGGTTTGGTTTGGTTTTAACTAAAAAAAGTCAAACCGAAACCAAACCAACCTGACATTGCATATATAGAAGTTTTAAATATATTTAATACATAAAAATATTTATTGTAGTGTAGTTTATAAATATTTCTTAAATATTTTCATAATTTTATCTTTTAACGTATTATTTTAAACTTGGACTTATAATTCTTGAATGCTACAATAAGTGTTATGGTCAATATTAACGCTAATAAAAGACATTCAATTAAATTATACTAGGAATAACAATAGTGTTGGATATCTATTTTTTTTTAGTTTTTTCATGGATTAGATAATTTGCACAACTTATTTATTTTATACTGTATAGTCATGTAAAAATAGTACTTGTTAGTCGTACTTATTTTAGCAACTTAGTAATTTTGGATTATATTTATTTTTATTATGACTTATTAATAATATTTATTTTATGTGATTTTATTATCTTCATTGTTGAATATTTTAGTACAATGCCATAGCTCATTTCATATTTTATGTTATTTTTTTGAAAAATACCTTATATAGTGTGATGACGTCATCACTTGTTTTAAAAGTAAATTCTGCATTTTAAGACCTTAAAAACCTCCTTCAGCATCACCTCATTTTACGTGTGCAGTCCGGGCACGAAGCTGGAAAGCCATTATGTGAAAATCTGTGAAAAATGATAAATTTTGGCTATATAATGAATTAAGTTGACTTCGGTCAATATTTTGGGTAAACGGACCCCGACCCGTGATTTGACAGTCCTGAAGGGTCCGTAGGAAAATATGGGACTTAAGCGTATGCCCGGAATCGAATTCCGATGTCCCAAGCCCGAGAAATGATTTTTTTAAAAATATTTTCTGAAATAATTTTTGAGATTTGGAAATGAATTGTGATTAGAACTCGATGGTATCAGGCCCGTATTTTGGTTTCGGTGCCCGGTACAGGACTTATATGTGATTTAAGATAAGTTTATGAAATTTGGTAAGAAACAGACTTGAAACGACGTGAATCAGATAGTTTTTGAGAAAATTGGAAATTTAAAGTTCTTAAGAAAATTCCATGATTTTGATGCTAAATTCATAGTTGGTGATGTTATTTTAGTGATTTGAATGCACGAGCGAGTCCGTATGATATTTTTAGGCTGATGTGCATGCTTGGTTTGGAGCCCCGAGGGCTCGAGTGAGTTTTGGATAGGCTACGGGGTGGATTTTGGACTTGGTGAATTGCAGGTTTTTAGCTGGTGTGTTTAGGCCTGCAGGCTTCACATTTGCGATATCGCAAATGCGAGGGCTTTGTCACAATTGCGAAAGCGGCCCAGGCCATCCCATCTCGCAGTTGCGAGGTTTTTGATCGCAAATGCGGTTTCCCCCAGCTTCAGTCAGCAGTCGCAAATGCGACACATTAGTCACAATTCCTATCTCGCAAATGCGATAACCCCTTCGCAAATACAAACATAGTAGAGGTCGGGGTTCGTAATTGCAAATCCTGTTCGCAATTCCCATATCTGCAACGTGCAATTTTTATACTTAGCCGAAAATCAACCATTTTTCACATCTTTTTAAAACATAAACTTCCTAGGGCGATTTTTCAAGAACAACTCTTCTTCCAAATCGATTTTAAGTCAATTTTAACTCGTTTTCTTCAATCATTAGCATCTTTTAACATGATTTCAACTCAAAATCAATTATTTTCACGGGGAAAATTAGGTGTTTTGGGTAGAACCTAGATTTTTCAAAAATTGGGGATTTGGACCTCGATTTGAGGTCCGATTTCAAGATAAATTATATATTTGGGTTCGTGGGGGAATGGGTAATGGGGGTTTGGTTCGAACCTCGGATTTTGACCATGTGGGCTCGGGGGAAATTTTTGACTTTTTGGGTAAAACTTTGGAAAACTCATTTTCATGCATTGGAGTTGATTCATTTAGCATTTACTGATGTAATTAAGTAACTTGTCACTAGATACGAGTGAACTGGTGGCGAAATCAAGGGGTAAAGCGATAATTAAGACGTGAAGTGTGTTCGTGGCATCGAGGTAAGTGTTTGGTCTAACCTTAGCTTGAGGGATTAGGAGTCGAGTCCTATTTTCTATGTGGTGTTTATCGAGTACGACGTATAGGCATGGTGACGAGTATCTATACGTTGGTGTCAAACATGCCCGTGAGTCTTATATTGTGATTTTTGTGACTTCATTGTATTGTTCATGCTTTGGTGATGATTCCTATTGTTGGCAAGGTTTGTGGAAGTAATTGTGGCGTTTGAATATTGAGGAGCGTTGGCTCAAGTCGTATAATGAAACGTAAAAGCGTAAGAGGTAAATTAAACCCTATTAGAGCATTGGCTCAAGTTGTAAAGTGAGTTGTAAAGTGAAAGTGAAAAAGAGAAAAGAATATCTCTCTTGTCGGGATGTTGTTGTTTTGATGTTGTCCCTTGCCGGGACTTGTTGTTAAATTATTGTTCCCTTGCCGGGATTCTTATTGTAGTTTCATTTATTTTCTTGCCCTATTGTTTGTGATTGTTGTTTGGGTGAGGAAGAGAGTTAAAGCACGGAGGTTGATGCCGTGCATTGTTTGGTGAGAGAGTGATAAAGCATGAAGGGTGATGCCGTGTATGATTTGTGAGGAAAGAGTGTAAAACACGAATGGAGATGTCGTGCCGCATGATGTACCATTCCGTGCCGATTATATTGATTATGGTGAGGACGAGAGTAAAAGTACGAAGGGTGATGCTGTGCACATTTTCATTACTTGATTGCTTTGGTGAGGACGAGAGTAAAAGCACGAAGGGTGATGGTGTGCACTTATTGATTTCTGATTCTTTGTTGATATCCGGGATATATTGTTTCTTTCAATTACTTGTTGTCCTTAAATTCTGAATTGATATCTCCCCCGCAACATGCTACCCCTCCCATACTTGACTGTTTATTATTGTTCTTCTTTTCCGCTATATATAGTTGAATTGCACAGGTTTATTGGTAGTCTGGTCCTAGCCTCGTCATTACTTCGCCGAGGTTAGGCTAGGCACTTACCAGCACATGAGGTCGGTTGTGCTGATACTACACTCTGCATTATGTGCAGATTCCGGAGCAGCTTTTGGATCGTAGATTGGGCGGCTACCTTCAGTCCACGCGGAGATCCAAGGTAGACCTGCAGGCGTCCGCAGGGCCCTGGCGTCTCCCTCTATCCCTTTATCCCTGTTTCATTTCCTTAATTCAGAAACAGTGTATCGTTTATTTTTCGGACTTTGTATACAGTAAATCTTAGATCGTTTGTGACACTGTGACACCAGTTCTGGGTGGTTAAGGCTTAAACATTTGTATTAGCACATGTTCAGATATTTTTTTTATTGCTTTTCTTCCGCTTATTTTAAATTTCCGCTGTTTACACGTTATTGTTTTATAAATGTTAAAGAGTATAAAAGGGGTAAAAAGGTAATTTGTTCAATAATTGGCTTGCCTAGCTCACATCAATAGGCGCCATCATGGCTCCTGAGGGTGGAAAATCCGGGTCATGACATATAGTTATGTCTTACTAGGATCAAAGAAACTTTTGGAGCACAAATTCTATGTTTTGTGCTATGAAGATTTTATTTAAAAAATCCGAAATAACCCGAAAACCCGAAAAAAACCAAAATTTAAAAACTCGACTTTTATTGGTTTGGTTTGGTCTTTAGATTTAATAACCTGACACAATTGAATTGGTTTGATAATTAGAAAATCCGAACCAATCCGACCTATGTACACCCCTACCTAATATTAAACAACAACAACAATACCGACCAAGTGAAATTTTACTAGTGGGGTCTGGGGAGGGTAGTGTGTACGCAAACCTCACCCCTACCCCAAGAGATAGAGATGTTGTTTCCGATAAACCCTCAGCTCAAGAAGACGAAAAGAGGCAATATATCAGTACCGTCAATAGAAACCATAAAACAAATAACAGCATCACCAGAATATACCTAATACTAAAAAAAATCAAATACCATTTCAAATACCAAAGTACCAAATATCAAATACCACATTTTTTGATTTAGGTATGGTAATTTAGTTGTTATCAAAATATACTCAGCTCTATCAGTAAAAATGAATAAAATGGGTTGAAATACAAGGATTTTAAAAAGAACCCGAACCCTGCAAGTGGCAAATAGAATTATCCACGTTTCCCTCCAATAGAATATGTAGCTACTTCCTCAGCAAAATCCTCAATCCATCCGCCAGAAAAAAATATCTGCAACTCTACATAATAGAGGCTGAGAACCTTGACAGTGATAGCTCCCATCTTCACCATTCCACAAAATACCTAATAAACCCTAAAAAAATTCTTGCAGAAAAATTCTTCATACTGTCAATTCAATCATCCCAATTTCAAATTTTCCTTTCCTCTAACCTTAATTCATAGTTTTTTTCTTCCTAATGATGGACTTGGCTTATTCACCAATGGCCAAATGCATTTCGACGCCATTTCAATCTTTCACTCATCGACCACTAGCACTTTTTTCTAGGGTTTCCATTTCGGTACACATTAAGCCCAAATTTGCAAATACTTATCGTCGGTGGAACATGTGTTCTGCTTCCAGCTCGGATACACATACACTTGTCGCTGGGCATAAATCTGTTGAAGTTGAAAGTAACAAAGAGGATGAATACGGGGACTTAAAATCATGGATGCACGAAAATGGGCTACCTCCTTGCAAAGTGGTTATTAAGGAAAGGCCTTCCCATAATGCTAAACATCGGCCCATTCACTATGTTGCTGCCAGTGAGGATCTTCAGGTCCATTTCGTATCATGTTCATGATTTTTCTTTGTTTATTTTCGTTTTTCTTTGAGGTCAACTTGTGTTTATTTATTTAATTATTTATTTATGATAAGGCGAGGTCAACTTGTGCTTATTGTAGGCTGGTGATATTGCTTTTTCTGTTCCGGATTCGTTGGTGGTAACGCTTGAGAGAGTTTTGGGAAATGAGAGCATTGGTAATGTGCTACACTGGTTTTTGCAAGTACAGTTTCCATTTGTTAGCTAATGAGGAGTCAAACAGATTCTTTTGATAGGATTTTCTCAAGCATACTTTTAACTGCTAATACCCGTAATTTAGCTTATAAATATGTAAATTCTCAACAACAACAACACAACAACTAGACTTCAGTCCTAAACAAGTTTGGGTCGAATCCTCACTTACCATGTTAATGCATATAAACTCATGTCATCCCATTATTATGCAAGTACAAATAAAAAGTATTAGATGTTCTGTATATTTATAAATATGTAATGACTATTTAAGAAGCAAAATCATGAAATCAATGTATAAATCGGCATAAAAGTTAGTTGCACTGACCCTTGTACTCCTCAACATCATTCTTCTTGGGACAGAGTTAGTAAGTGAAAATTTTGTGGATTACTGACTCCCTTAAGTTAGAAAAAGAATTCACTGTCATCCCCTCCCACCCTGCATCCAACCCTGGCATTCAATTTACTTTTCTAAAGTCAGGGAAGTAGATTTTGTGTTGATGAGGCAATTCAAGAGAGTCTAGTTTTAATAGCTTTATGCAAGTGATGGTTGGTCAAGAATGCTTCATTGGGATTAATGGGCGTTGTAATATTTAATAAGATGTATAGTTTGTCTTTGTTCTTTAAAAATAGAAAGTTGATGAGAAAAGTTTGTTTTACAGCTGAACTCTTGACAACAAACAAATTGTCTGAACTAGCCTGCTTAGCGCTTTATCTAATGTATGAGAAGAAACAAGGAAAGAAGTCGTTCTGGTACCCTTATATAAAAGAACTCGATCGCCAGCGGGCAAGGGGCCAGCTAGCTGTGGAATCGCCTCTTCTATGGTCAGACGCTGAACTAGATTACCTGACAGGGAGTCCTACTAAGGTATTTGAAGTTTCCAGCTGCTGACAGATATCATAAGTTTTATTTTCATCGTTAAACAAGATTTTGGTGAAAATTTAGGCTGAAGTTTTGGAAAGGGCTGAAGGGATCAAGAGAGAGTACAATGAGCTTGATACAGTCTGGTTCATGGCTGGATCTCTGTTTCAGGTTTTCTAATTTCTTTCTAGTCTGATATTTTATCTTTTGTGCACCGTTGCACTCATCTTAGCAATTAGCCAGTTGCTTGATTGATTCTGATGTTAAACATTCTTTCTTGTGCAGCAATACCCCTATGATATACCCACTGATGCATTTCCGTTTGAGATCTTCAAGCAAGCTTTTGTTGCAGTGCAATCATGTGTTGTACATTTACAGGTTCGTCACGCACTGATAATGGCATTTTATTAAGTTTATATTTCTTATAGCCCTCTGTGTAAGAATGATTAAGACTAATTGAAGTCTTTACTGAAACCAGAAAGTTAGTCTTGCCCGGAGGTTTGCACTAGTCCCATTGGGACCACCATTATTATCCTATTGTAGCAACTGCAGAGCAATGTTAGCAGCAGTTAATGGTGCAGTGCAACTGGTTGTCGACCGCTCTTATAGGGCAGGAGATCCAATTGTTGTGTGGTATGTAATCTACCTTCTACCTTTTTTTGTTAGTTTTCAGTTTTTTCTTTCAACTCAGAACATGGTAATTATGACAAGGTTGTGTTTCAAAGCTTAGGATTGCACTCCAATTGGGTGGAAATACAAAGAACTAGTAATGGTCTATACTCTCTTTTTATTGGAAATTTCACCTCTATTGGAGACTTTGAACTAGTTAAAATGGATGATAGATTCATTTTTATTTAATTTTATTTTATAAAGGAAACTTTGGATGTTGTTTTTGGCCTTCTTGTTGTAGTACCTTTGGACATAGTCCCCGACTTTGAGTGGTCGTATTTTGGCCTTCTTGTGCGTGGATGTGAGGCTTGAATCATAGGTTATCCCAAGTAGAGGCAACTTCAAGTACCTTGGGTCGGTTATCCACGGGGGAGGGGAGATCGATGATGATGTCGCACACCGTATTGGGGTAGGATGGATGAAGTGGAGGTTAGCATCCGGAGTTTTGTGTGACAAGAGAGTGCCAACGATACTCAAAGGTAAGTTCTATAAACCGGTGATTAGACCGATCATGATGTATGGGGCTGAGTGTTGGCCTGTTAAGAACTCACATATCCAAAAGATGAAAGTAGCAGAAATGAGGATGTTGAGGTGGATGCGCGGGCACACTAGGATGAACAAGATTAGAAATGATGATATTCGGGAGAAGGTGCACGTGGCTCCCATTGATGACAAGATGTGGGAAGCGAGACTCAGATGGTTCGGGCATGTACAGAGGAGAAGCCCAGATGCTACAGTAAGGAGGTGTGAGCGACTGGTTGTGGAGGGTACGAGAAGAGGTAGAGGACGACCTAAGAAGTATTGGGGAGAAGTGATCAGACAGGATATGACGAGGCTTCAGATTTTCGAGGACATGACACTTGATAGGAAGTTGTGGAGGTCGAGTATTACGGTTGTAGACTAGGAGGTAGTTGAGTCTTGCGTTACTTTATACTGTTGTGAGCCTAGTCTGGTAAGGTTTTTGTCTAAACTAGCTAGGGGCATTGTCGTGTCTTAATATTTTCTCTTTTCAGTGCAGGACCTATTTACTAACCATCATTTCTGCCTTGTATTTTTCTTCTGCATTTTATGTTCTTATTTTTCCTATGATTTCTATGGTGAAACTAATATTCTCTCATTTTGTTTTTCTTATTATCTTGAGCCGAGGGTCTTTTGGAAACAACCTCTCTACTCCTTCGGGGTAGGGGTAAGGTCTGCGTACATACTACCCTCACCAGACCCCACTTGTGGGATTTTACTGGGTTGTTGTTGTTGTTGTTGTACCTTTCCGCTTGTTGTTTTTGGGATACCATCCTTACATGAGCCATATCTCTCCGTTCTTCTACTTCGTCGAGGTCTTGTATTCTATTCTCGTCGTTGTTTGGTCTTTATTTTATAAAGGAAACTTTGGATGGATAGATGGTCTTTGCTTTAGACATAACCAAATTTGTTATCCTGTACTCTTGTTTGGCAAGAGATCTCTTAGCAATATGTTACTGCATTTCTGTAGGTGTGGACCACAACCTAATTCAAAGTTACTCATTAACTATGGTTTTGTTGATGAAGAAAATTCGTACGACCGTCTTATGGTGGAGGTACTATTTAAACCAATCTTCACACAATTGCATTAGTTCAGTTTGAAATAATGTGCCTTTTGTACAATTCAGGCAGCATTAAATACAGAGGATCCTCAATATCAAGACAAGCGTCTAGCTGCTCAAAGGAATGGTAAACTATCAGTGCAAGCTTTCCAGGTAGAATTCTTTCAGTTTTGAGGAATTTTGTTAGTGATTTGTTTTTGAGTAGAAGACGTTTTAATATGCCCTGCTATAGGTGTGTGTGGGAAAAGAAAGAGAGGCTGTGTTGGAGATGCTTCCTTATTTGAGATTGGGATATGTTTCAGATCCTTCAGAAATGCAGACGGTCTTATCATCTCAAGGCCCTATTTGTCTGGTAAAAACTTCTGGCCAATCTTATGTACGAAACAGAAATTTTGCATGGACAAAAGAAAGGGAAAGATTCTTGTAGACCTTAGCTTCTTCTCTTGTTGGAATCAAATAGGCACCTATGTCTTAATAATGATGTCTGCTATGTTTAGCAGTAATCCATGCAATAGAAATTCAATATGAACAGGTTAAAGAAGGGTGCTACCATCTATCTGTTTCCATGTGGCAACTGATATTCATGTACTCTTTCCTGCCAAGTGCAGGTACCCTTTTACATGTTGATTAGTTGTTGATGTAATTCAGTAGTGAATCATGTCATGAGCATTTGGTACTCTGCTAAATGAGGAGTTTGATGCTACTGTGAGAAGCTTGGTGTCCTATTTTATGCATATCTTACTCCCCAGTTTTACCAAAACTTGTTTCATGGTGTCTAGCACGTATTGCGGAAACCCTGTTTTAGGTAAAACAAGAATAAAAGGAGAAGGAAAAAGATTCATGGCTTCCCAACTAATCACTTAAACCACAATTTAAATTGGTTGATATCCAGTTACATAATAACAAAAGGTGCAAAATCTTATTTCACCTTTTGATCAATGCAGGTGAGCCCTTGTATGGAAAGAGCAGTTCTGGGTCAGCTAAGTGATTATTTCGAGGCAAGGCTGGCTAGTTATCCGACCACTCTAAGTGAAGATGAGGCTTTGGTAAACTCCTGAAGCTTTTAGAGGTTGAATATTGATCTAAGGTCATCACAATGCATCTAATATTGGTTTACTTCTCATAGTTGGCTGATGCTGATCTGGATCCAAAAAAGCGAGTTGCTACACAGCTTGTCAGGTTGGAAAAGAAAATTCTAAATGCATGCCTGGAAACTACAGTGAACTTCATTAATCAATTACCTGATCTCTCCGTATCTCCATGTCCGGCTCCTTTTGCTCCAACATTGAAATGATAGGTCAATCACTCTTCTANCTTTCCCCTGGACCGTTTCTTCCTCAATTTTTTTTCCTGAAAAGGACGCTCAATTGCAGAGATTGTGGATCAAATCTTCTTATAAAAGCTGTGGATAGATTGAGCATCTTTCTCAAGTGTATTGATACTGGGCCAACCAGACTGCTCATCAATGAGGTCAGTGAAGTTGTATGAATGTCCAGAATGAGTAGAAACATGAATGCTGTCAGTGTACACTGATGATTTTGCTTTAAATCTAAATGAAGTATTCTCATCGTATCTTGTGATAAAACACTGGGAGCTGAGAGGGATAAAATGAGTTGTTATGTAATTTGGTCTTATCTTTTTATTAGAAGCTATATTAAAGATATGGACGAGGGAGGATTGTTGATTGCAGAATAAGTAATGTTAGACTCCAGAACAAGAAAAATTGGACTATTAGATATCATATCATGAAAGTAGCGTTAGCTTGAATCAAGTGTGAATTTTTGACGTCTGTGAGAGATAAAAAACAATCAAGATTAGTTTTGTACTGCCATAATCAGTTGTCATGGTACCGGTGTTAGATTTTCCCCAAGAAGTTGAATTTCTGCAATATACTATCCTTTTATTTTTTATTTTTAAGCAAGTGGTGAAATTATTGGCACTATGCTTAATGTGGATTTGCTTGTGCTTTTCAGGTGAACTTAGCGACTGAACCAATGAAGTTGTCCAAAAGTATACAAACGTTGCTCTGTGCAATATGCTGGCAGTTCTACAATATCCATTAAAGACCAATGTTCTTCATTGTCATTCTCCTTGAGCCTAACTGTGTATTAGCCTTCTTTATCATTCTCTTTTCTTTTTCTCCCTTTTTCACTGTCACATTGAGTTTAATGATGATGCGTTTAGGTGTATAAAGAGAAGGTTCTTAATCGATGCAGTGCATCCTTGTGCTGGCCATCTATGTGATGTTAATCATTCTTTGTAAATATTGGTTTTGATGTATCATATTCAATCTGATTCTCCAGTCAGAGTATATGATGTAATGCATTATGAACATGTTTATGTTGATGCTGAATGTTGGACACTACACTAATCAAATATGGCATTAAATAAATGAAATGACTCAAAGCTATTATCGTAGTGCATAAAGGGAGTTCAGAAAGCCACAGAAATAGGGTGAGCCTCGCTGGTTTCACAAGGGAATTCCTTAGTCACCATAGAAAAACAGCTTTTAAGGTATTTTTTGGTAGATTTCCTTCTGATAGCTGCATTATCCAGCAAGGTGAGTACTAGTGTACTTCGGGACCTCAATTACTCTTAAAGGGGTAGTTTGGATTAAAATCAGGTTATCCCAGGATCATAATTCTGTGATTATAACTAGGATGGATAATCCTACTTTCCACTTGGAATAGATAATCTCACGATTTTAATATGAATCTTATGCTGGTTTTAGCTAATATCCACAACTAATCACTGGACAAATTTAATCCAAAATTATATTACTGGGATAACCCCTATTCCCTGTAACAAAACGCTCCCTTATAGTCTCGTTCTATTCAAGAAAAGAATCCTGGAAGGAGGCTGTTCAGAACACAATAATTACTATAAAGCTGATCCCAAAAACAACTGCTGATCCAAATCTATGATGATACTCCAAATTGGGTGGAAATATAAAGCACTACTAATGGTCTATAATCTCTACTCTTGGAATTTTCATCTCTATTAGAGTCATAGCAACAAGTTTGAACCTTCTATGCTGTTGTTTGTCAACAGATCTTTTAGCAGTAAGCGTTCTTCAATATTAAGAGTGTTTACCCAAAAGGTACAGTTAAATTTGCAAAAGTGATTTATAGATACGTGAATTAAATTGATCTGATTAATAAGATAACTAAGGATACATGAATTGATTTGTTATAGATAAATATAAAGTAACAACAATTAGTAATGAAATCAAGTAAATATAAAGCAAGAGTATAATAAAGTTAGCCTGGGCCATAAGAACTCGGAATCTCTCTATGGGTATGACTCCGGTTGAATACTCGGCCTTTAAGAACACTTCGAATCTGAAACAAAAGAATATAGAGAACAAAGTAGGCGAAACACATAAAACAACCCCTTTAACTTGTCCTCAACAATCAGATAGACATCTCAACTAACCCCTTTATCATTTAGTTACTTCAAGTGGCTATTAAGTGTATCAAGTAGACACCTCACATTGACATGGCAAATTACGTATATTTTAGTTATATTTGGGCGCGTGAGGCTTTTAACAGACTTTTCTCCTATTTTCAAAATAACAAATAATTTTACAACCGCTAATGGAGTTCGAATTGGATACTCCGACGAGTTTGATCGGATACCCGGCCCGCTTATACACCTAATCTTCAACCAAATCTCCGACATCAAAAACCTAATCTAGTGCCGCTCCATTTCCAAACGGTTCAATTCTTTAGTCCTTCAAGCCGATTCGCTCCTCCCCCGGGTCATCTCCATCACTGACTTCGACGACAATGACTCATTCTCCATTGCCTTCCTCAGATTTATCATCAAGTTCCTTCACCACTTCGTTTCCCTAAGCAAGCCTCTCCTAAACTCGACTCGATATCAGAACTCGTCCGACGAAGCCACCATTAATGTCTACAACCAGCAATACTAAACTAACATGTACATAGGGCTAGCATGGCGACAATACTGATATACAAAATATACAGGACTCGTCTATAAGCTTCTAGAGATAACTGAACTGTATCATGGTAGGGACACGGCCTCGACCTACCCATCTAACCTGTATATATATAATGGACTCCAAGGTTTAGACCTGGTAACCCTGAGGAAGTGGAGCTTACCAACCAAGCTGATGTTTCACTTTGTCTACTAGGAAGGTCTATCCAGTTATCTATCAGGATTTGCAGGCATGAAATGCAGTGTCCCTAGCAAAAGGGACGTTAGTACGAAATAATGTACCGAGTATGTAAGGCAAAAAAATAGCTAAAAGCTGAAACTGAACTAATAATATAATAACTGAAAGTAACTGGGAGTCAAAGATAATCTGAGGATATGCTTACCTGCTGATACTGACTCAACTTTCTCAATATAGTAAGTAAAATAGCTGCTCGGCCCTATAAGGCTCAATATGTGTAACTGCTCTAGCGTAGTAGGCTCGCTCATAGGCGCTCAGCCATACTAGGCTCTGATCTCGACCATTCTGGGCTCGCTTATAGGTGCTCGGCCGTAGTAGGCTCAGTATATAACTTGTTATCTGATCAGAGGTTGCCCAATAGGGGCCTGCCCACCAATTATAGCTCGATGGTGGTGAAAATACTGTAATACTGTATATATATAGACTCTCTGCTCTCTTGGCTGGAAGAAGACAATATTAAACTGAATATAAAGTCCCAATAAGAAAAAATACTGTAACTTATGAGACTAGGACACTGTACATAAGTTTAGTAATACGAACTCCTCTTTATAGCTCGTTATCAAATGCATGTAGTTACGAGATCATGCCAAAATGAAGGAAAGTATAACGACCCCATCGATCATTTTTAGCTTTAGCGCTATTGGGCAGTTTGAGGCCATGAGCAGCTTCACTTCAGGTATTATGACTTGTTCGCGTGGTCAAAATTGAAATTCGGAGTTGATTTGGAAAGAAAATTCTTATTTCGGAAGCTTTAAGTTGGAAGAATCTGACTAAGGGTTGATTTTGAGTAAACGACCTCACAATCGGGATTTGAAAGTTCCAACAGGTTCGTATGATAATTTTGGACTTGGGTGTATGTCCGGATCGGGTTTTGGATGGCCCAGAAGCGTTTCGGCGCCTATTATAGAAGGTTGGCATTTTGAAAAAATTTCATAAACTTGGGTTGAAGTGCATTTCAATGTTATCGATCTCCGTTTGGGATTTTGAGTTTGGGAGTAGCTCTGTATGATGATTCTGGTGTTGGTAGCACGTCCGAAAGTTGATTCAGAAGTCCGTAGATCATTTTGGGGTCATTTGGCGAAAGTTAAAATTTAAAAGTTTTTGAGAAGTTTGACTGGAATGGACTTTTTGAAATCGGGGTCGGATTTCGATTTCAGAAGTTGGAGTAGGTCCGTAATGTCGAATGTAACTTGTGTGCAAAATTTGAGGTCAGTCGGACGTGATTTGATAGGTTTCGACATCGAATGTAGAAGTTTAAAGTTCATTAAGCTTGAATTGGGGTGCGATTCATGATTTGATGTTTTTTTATATGATATGGACCTTGAGTAGGTCCGTGTTATGTTATGGGATTGGTTTGGGTGATTGGACGTGGTCCCGAGGGCCGGGTGCATTTCGGGGTGGTTTTGGACCAAATATGAGATGTTTTGGACTGTTGTTTTGGTGCCCGGTTTCCTTCTTCGCGAACACGAAGGAAGTCCCGCTTTCGCGAAGAGGAATTTGTGGGTCTGTTGGGTTTGGCCTTCGCGAACGCGAGCCAGTGGATGCGAACGCGAGGCAAGAGCTGGACAAGCCTTCGCGAATGCAACCAAGGCAACACGAACGCGAAGAAGAAAGGAAGGAGCTGGGCCTAAGGCCATCTCCAACCTTGCCCCCATCCCCCATAATGGAGGAAATATTTGGGGGAATGTAGCTCCAACCCTCCCCATTTTTGTTCCCAAAATGGGGGATGAATAGTGTTCCCTCAAATATGGGGGTACACTATTCATCTCCCTCATTACTATTCATCACTTTATTATTATTATTATTATTATTATTATTATTATTATTATTATTATTATTTTATTATTTAATCTTTTAATTTATCTCTTTATATATACCTAATTATGTTTATGTAATGTCTTTATAATATTAAAATTATATCTTAACTTTGGTGTATAATTTTGATAAATTAATTTTCGTGCATTTATTATTTATATGTAGAAATGACACTAGATAAAAATCAACGATTTCAAGAATTTTTATTTCGACATAGCAGAATTAAGGACAAAGATGCTCATTTTGCACTTTGTAATGCATTAATAGATCATTTATGAGAGAATACTAGAAGTTGAAGTTGAATATTTATCAAGTATTTCGAATGAATTTTATTGTTATATCATATGTATTTAATTAATCTTGTATCGCAATGATTTCACTTTTATTTGAATTATTAGTTAATCTATAATAATTGCTTACAAATTATATTATTTAAAATTTTATGGAATTGTTTTAATTATGGAAATTACAAATTAATAAAAATAAAAGATGGAATTTATTTAATGGAAATTAAAAAATGAAAGATAATAATATAATATAGAAGAATTAGAAGAATATAAAAAAGTTTGAGGAAAAAATGGGAGATGGTTGGAGTAAGTTGTCCCCAAAATGAAAAAATCCCTATTTTGGGGACCAAAAATAGGGTAAAGGTTGGAGATGCCCTAAGGCCATTTGGCCTACACGAACACATAGAAGGGAGCGTGAACGCGAAGGGGCGGATCAGCTAGCCTTTGCGAACATGATCAGAGGGTTGCGAACGCGAAGAAGAAGGGTGTTGTGCTGGGCAGAATGTTTAAAAAGCGGGGTTTGGGTTCATTTCACCCATTTTTCACACGGCTTGGGCGATTTTTGGAGCTTTTCAAGAGGAGATTTTATCATCAAGCATAAGGTAAGTGATTTCTACTAGTTGTGAGTTATATACAAGGTTTATACATGGATTTAGGCATGAAAATTTGTAAAAATTTGGGATTTTGTTTATATTTTTTGATTTTGACCACGAAATTGGACATGGAACTTGGAATAAATTATATATTTGAGTTCGTGGTGTTATGGGCAAAGTTTATCTTCAAAAAATTTTGAAATCCGGTCATGTGGGGCTGAGGGTGATTTTTATCGACTTTTCGAGCGAAGTTGAAAATTGTTGTAAATTGGATTATAATGAGTATTATAGCTTGTTTGACCAAGCTAGAGAAATCAACTTATTTTTAGAAGTGCTTTTGAAAAAATTACTTTTGGAGAGAATCAATTTGTGTTTGGCTAATCAGTCTGAAAAGCACTTTTGAGAAATAATTTATGTTTGGCCAAGCTTTTTAGAAAGTGCTTTTAAGTGTCA